GTACAATTAAGGAGGCAAAAGCCTATGAAACTATATTCCGGGGATAGGAGATCCCTAAGATGTCGTGTTCCAACCACGGTTTAACCCCCGTGGGTGGGTCATCAAGGACATGGAATCCACCTGATTCCATCTGGCATGGACGACGCCAACGACGCAAGGTAATATTTTCCATCTGCTATAAATATATATTAAGTTTTTTAATTTAAATGCATAAATTGACTATTTGACCATAGAAAGTGCGAAGTGCTATGTGAATGAACAACATAACTGTCCAATCTACAGTGAATGTATGTCTATGCACTTAAACTTCTTTTCATCTCTAAAAAGTATGAAGGATTATATGAATGAACTACATGATCATCGCATATTCATTATTCATTGACACTTGCAGAATTGAAAAACTTAAATTATCAACAAAGTGTGAAAAAATTAATATATCTTTAAAGTGAGGCGAAGAAATTCACGCATAATATTTTTATAAAATATAATATTGAAATTTATTTTTGATAAATAATAATTTTATTATTTTTCAAAATAGAAGTGATAAGTAATTCACTTTAAATTTATAAAGGTTGATATAACTATTTTTTATTTTTTATTTTATTCTTTTGTAAAAATCCAAATCCACTTGTACTACTTTATAATTCGCTTCCCAAATTTCATTGTAAACAATCACTCGTCAAAATATAAAATCCACATTACAACCACAATTTACAAATGTCCACATAATTTTAATTGACCTTGATTAGTTTAGACCATGCCACTCGTAATCTTCCCAAGGTGAAAAATATTTAGTGACTCACTAAATATTGGTGATATTCAACTTTTCTTTTATGACAAATTTGATTTTAGGATCATTTTTTTTTCTCTTCTTGCAAAATTGCAATATTTGGCTTGCACATAATTAAATGTTCAAGTGACAAGTGTAGTAATTTGTATAAGCGCATGTTTAAAATAAAATAAAATAAAAAATACAAAACTACTAATTGTTACTTTGTTAGACGAATTATTTCATTGCACTTCATTGTTTTTTTAGCCATAAATTCCACACTTTTGAGATAGAACGTGATACGAAAGCAGGGAAGATCGAGATACTCTCTCGAGAAAAATAGAACACTAGATAATTTCATAAAATTCTTCAATTCGTTCTCATGTCCCACACGAGATAATAAATAAAAATGAGAGTCCACACTTGTCAAACAACTGCAAGGACATTATTTACTTGCCTAGTCTAACATGAGAAATAAGAAAATAAAATAATAAAAGAAAAGGGAAGATAAAATAAATAAAGAACTAAATTCGGAGTCGATCAAATTTATCTAAATATGCCAAGACAACCTCGTCTCCATTATCTTTCCAGATATATATGTGTGTAGTGTGCAGCTAGAAACTCCATATATAGGAGCACTATCATTCATAATTAAACACAGTAAAAGTGCGAAAAAAATAAAATTTCGGTATCTTACTTAATTAATTAATTAATATACTAAGCAACATGTATGACCTTTTGTGATTTATTTAAAATTAAATGTGGGATTTGGCTGGCCACTTGGAAATGCATATATTTAATATAATATATAATGGGCACCGCTAAAAAATTCAGACTTGTAATTAAACAAATATTAACAAATGAGTGGGCCAATCTTGCCTTATGTTTAATTTTGAGTCTTGCATATTGATTTTTTTTTTTTTTTTCGAAACGATAGAAATGTTATAAATAAAAAAAGCACAAATGTGCAAATACACAGCAGCCAACGGCTGAATACACAGTAGCCAACAGCTGAATAAAAAAGAGAGGACAGGTCATTAGATCGCCGAGATCCGACCGCCTAGTTCCTACCCCAACAGGGTAATAAAAAACACAAAATACAACACAACACAGAGATCCCAACAGGGTAATACCCGAGTATCGAACCCCAACAGGGTAATAAAGTGACACTCAGGTTCACAGAGACCAACGCCCAGACCTAAAAAACACGACTAAAAACAACAAACAAAACTACAAGACCTACAACAAAAACACGACAAAACTCAATTTGGTGTTTTTTTTTTTCTTAATATTTGTCTAAGTGTAGAGTTTATAATTTATTTGCAAATCGTGTAATCAATTAATTGTGGATCATGTTTATCGATTATAATTGTGGATAATTTTATAAATCGTGTAATCAATTAATTCGGAAAATGCTACAGTCTCGTTACGGAACGATTCTGTCAGAATTTGTAGCCGTTAGATCATCATGTAATCGTCATGAATAGTTGAATAGTGATATAGTAATTACAAATCCCGACGGAATTGTTGGGTAAAGGAGACGGTAGAATTTTCCCAATTAATTCATTAATTCATAGAAAACTGTTAAAAGAGCAACCATTGCCACAACTGTTTTTTCTGCCCCCACTTCACAAATGTTTCTTGTGTAGTTATGATTATGGGGAAAATAACAATGCTTACAATAAATATTTTAAATGAAAAAGTATTATAAGGTCAATTCACCTCGCTATGATTGATCACTTAGGGCAAAAACTAGGCAACAAATTGAAAATTTCATCAAGTATAGTACGTGGGTCATCAAATCAACTAAACCTTCATCAAATATAATCATCACATAGGAGAATATTTTATATTCCTCAATTTATTAACTTTTTTTTTTATTTATAATAAAGTGTTTATGTGTTACATCTTACAAACTCTGGATTTGAAATGGAATAACTAAGTACAAATATGAAAAAGTAAAACCTATGAGCCAAATAGATATATAAATATGAAATTAGTTTAAATAGAATAAAACTATGCAATATTATTATTATTATAATATATATATATATATATGCAAGATATAAAAAATTGTATCATTTTACTGCTCATAATTCCACATTCGATTAGTATTTACTTTAGCAAAAGTTAAGCAAAATGAATTGATTGTAAGTTTGACACAATTCAAATCGTTAAGACTCACGACTACTCCAATTACTAAACTCCATAATTAGCAGTTTTTACAGATTTTCTCAATTTTTAACATAATTCGTCACGAGTTTAGCTCATAAATCCCATTATCGAGCCTAAATATGAGTTCATTTATCGTCTCATTGACTTATTGAACCCAAGCTCGGGTATTAGGAGCTCGATGCGGCGTAACTTGACTCGTTTCCTCCTTATAGAGAGATTATTCTTGTAGTAATCTGATAATATTTTATATTTAATGTGGCTTGTAAGATGCCCATTATAAAATAAAATACGGGCATATAAATGTAAGTATACAAACAAAGCATAATGTTGAATAATAATGGAAAACCCAAATTAAAGATAGTGCAACAACAGCAATCATAGAACAATGACAAGATTTTGTTGATACCCCAATTAGCATTGTTGGTCAAGATACTGTCAAGAAAGTGACAAGCAAATGAGGGGTCGCATGATTTTAAATCCTACCACCTAATTTGGCCGTCTAATGAAGAATGTGATGACTTCGTTTTTTTTTTATTTTTTTAGTAGAAAGAAGGAGGTTAAAGACCTAAGCTAGGTCTCGACGAGGGTATAACACCCCTATACATGAGTCATGCTCGATCCAAGCTCCCATGCCAACAGTAGGAGTCACGATGATTTCATTTTCAACTATCTTAATTTCTCCCATTATAGGTCTTTTTTTATTATAACCCAAATATAAATAACTAAATGAAAAAATTGCAATTTTAGTCCAGTAACTTAGGTTGTTTTCCATTTTAGTCCACTAACTTAGGTCGATCTAAATTTGGTCTAAAAACTCCCAAAAGTTAGTTAAATCAGTCCAATTGGACTAAAATTGGACTGAAATTGATCAATCAATTTCGGCGAAAAGGACCGAAATTGGAGTGATTTAACTAACTTTTGGGAGTTTTTGGACCAAATTTGGATCGGCCTAAGTTAGTGGACTAAAATGAGAAACAGTCTAAGTTACTGGACTAAAAATGCAATTTTCTCTAACTAAATAACCAAGATAGTAAGTTTGAAGCTCAAATGAGTTTCCAATTTTGGGAGTTTGCTTCTAATAAAAAAGCATTAATTTTTCTCTGGCCTTACTTAGGAGGATCTTTGAAAATGGTGGTTGTGGGGACTATGAAATTAATTGTGGTTTGATTTTAGGGTTTGGGTAACAACACCACCCCATCAATGGGGACAAAGGGACATTACTTAGTGACAAATTGGGATTTACAATTGGATGGTATAATAGTTAATCAGATTTGATTTTCTATTTTAATTTGAAATAATGTCTTATTTGTCATCTGATTTTGATGATAATCTCTCTTTATGTTGCAACCTCAAATGTTGAATGATCTCTTAAGCTATATATGTTTGGTAAATAAGATAAGTTTATAATTTTTAAGTGAATTTCGAGTTTATATCTAATAACTATGACTTATGGCTAAAAATTTAGCTTGTATGATACAAGTATTTGGTAAAATAAGCTCACAAGCTAACTGAATAAAAATTTCAACGGGTTTATTTGAAAAACTATCCAAAAGAGCTTATGAGATAAACTCGAGTTTTTTTATAAAAGCCCATTATACCAAACGAAACTTATTTGAATACAAGAAACTTATCTTATTTGGTTACCACATATAGCAGTAAGTTTCCTACATTTAAAAAAAAGTTTGGCTTGGTGAGAGAAGCTTTTCTAAAAAACTCGAGTTTATCTCATAATCTTCTTTTAGTAGCTTTTCAAATACGCCCGTTGAAATTTTAATTCAGCTAGCTTATCAACTAATTATACCAAGTACTTTTATCATATAAGCTAGTTTTTCAGCTATAAGTCATAAGTTATAAACTCAAAAATTACTTATAATCTATAAGTTAACTATCAGCCAACTTTACCGAACATAGCCTACCTAATTATGTTTACCAAACACAACCTTAGATGCCTAGTTAGCAATTGATTCACAAGCTAATTAAAGGGCGGTCAACACTATGGGGTGACACATGCATATGAACTAGGATTGAAAAACGCATATTACATATATGAGTACCTACACTTATAAGTTTTCACCAGATGTGTGAATGAATTGGATACTCATCATACTCAAATACAACATTTTTCACCCAATAAGCAAAACCTGAAGTATAAATTAAAAATGTATCTAATCCACATTTTCAGCATCTAATAACCCACTAATCGTGCTATTAGAGGATTCTTAATCACACTACACTTGTTTAAGTGACCTTTTTTTTTGGCACTTTGTTAATTAGAAATGACTTCAATTAATGAATTATATTTGTTACTTTGACAAAATTAATCATATGTTTTTTTTTTAGCCAGCCACGGTATCCGGAGCTATGCCCCGACTAATTCGTTGGTCGACCCGGATCGCACACCTGACAGTGGTGGGTTACTGGGTGAGTCTCCCAACAAGAGTTTTCTGCATCCACAAAAACTCGAACCCGAGACCTTGCTTAAGCGACATCAAGCTGCTTACCACTTTGACAAAATTAATCATATGTTAGATGACCAGCAGTTGGATTTAATTTCATGGATTAATCTGTGGGCTCGTCACTAATCTGTGGATCAATTGATCACATATGTATTTATGTGAAAATAGATGGATTTGTATACATCAAATTATCATCATCATATAAGTATGTTTAGTGGGACCAATAATATAAGCACAATGGTTTACCTGTTTCATATACTAAAAGAAGGGAAACACTGGACAAAATTTTGTGGGAATTTCACATATGTAATGATCTTATTTATGAACAACTTTTTCATTTTACCTGTAGGGTTCTCTACAGTTGTTTGTGCTGAGTTTTGGACAAGCAAATTACACTTTGTATATATATATATATATTTTTTTTTTTATTGATAAAATTCTATTAGAATTATTTGCAAATGTAGATATAAATGCTAGCTGTAGATATATTTCAAAATACAATAATACCTTTTTCTCGAACTGATGTGCGTTGTACCTTAATAAGTGGCTTCAAAGACCTGCAATGCGACAGGAGAGACTTTCAGCGTAAATGTATACTGTGACGCTGAAGCTCAAATCTATTTTTATACCTTTTGAAACTCTATTAAGAAGATACATTGCATACAGGTCCCATTTTCTTTTGCATACTTCATTTTACGAGACTCATTTAGGTCGTTTATTACAAATATAAAAGCACCTTGCATCATTTCCTAGTCGGAGCAAGGCTAGATCGAATGAGAATCTTAACTCGAATTTTAGCATCTAAATAAGCAACCTCAAGCTAGTATGTATCTATCCTTTCGAGCATAGACATGAATCGAGCTACTAAACTGGACTCCAATTGAACTGATCTAACGGGCTATATGAAAATTGATGTAAAAAGTAGCAATGTGACATTTTTATAATAAAAATTAAACATTATACATCATTTTTCAAATTATTTTGCAATATGTCATGGAGGGAGGTAGAAATGTGGGAAAGGGCTGTTTGCATATTTTTCAGGCCGTCCATCTGGGTGGGCCGTCGATATTGAGTAGGCTCGAGATTAAAATTGGGCCTGGAGAAGTAGAAGCTTGAATACAGACAGGAATTTGGGCCTTCAATTACTCTTGTGGGCATTCTTCTACGCGTAGGCCCAACAGACTCTCAACATTTACGATGTCCTATTACGACGTCGTTTCAAGCTGCAACTCAATTGACGCCTGGTATCAATCATATAATCTCCATGAAAAAACTCGAGACCGACCTTCAACATTTTCTCCATTTCAAACTGCTGAGACTCAACAATCCTCTCATCTCTCCATATTTTCTCCAATCGTTTGTTCCTCTGAGCTTTGCAATACTCCATTAGTTGTGTAATTAGGGTTTTGCTTGACAGTTCGTCACAATTTGAACCGCTTTTCGCGTATGGACGCCAGGGATCCCGACGCCGGAGAATCTAGCTCGCCGCAGTTGGTAATGTTGTGCTATTTATCGTTTTATGTTTGTTTGTTGGAGGTGATTGTGCTGATTTTTTTTTTTTTTTTTAATAATATTCTCTACACAAAAGGCAAATAGGACTATGGGGAGAGATGATCGTCCCGGTATTCCGCAGCTGTTTACTTCCGTATCCGTGCCTTCTTTGAACGAGGCTGCTTCATATCTAGCTGAAACTACGTCGATCTTTACCCGATGCTTCCCGGAGATTTCAAGTATTGTTCTTAACTCGTTTACTGGTTTGAGCTATGATTTTGGAAGCTTTTGTAGCAAGAATCATGGGAAGATGTTTAGCTATGCTTGTTGTTAGTTTCAGAGTGACACGATGATGATTATTGTGAACCTTGCAGAATGAAAACTTGGGATTGAGTTTAATCATAGTTGTATGATGGGACGGTTCATCATGGATTTTAATGATTTTTCTAGGGGCAAATAGTTAATGTGTGTTTGTTTCTATTAGATTTTAGATTTGAACTTGTGTGGTATTTATCGAGTTTTCAGAGATGATTTTACACGTGCAGATGATTTCATGATTGTGTATGTCTCCTCGTTTTATGTTTCTATTTGTAATAGCTGTAATAGAATACTCGATTGGAACTTAATATCGGTTAATAGGGTGGAATTTAGTGAAGGTTAGAATTTTTCGAGGTTTCTGTTTCATTAGCTAGAGAACACATGTGCTGCCTTCTCCTGCCAAAGTGCAAAGGACATGTTCATATTCTACTGGAAGTGTTAACTTTCACTATGTGCATTTCCCTCAGAAAAAGACAGCACTAGAAGTACAAATAATTTAACAGAAACAAAAGGAAAGAAGATGCTACTTTTACGTATATGTATCCTTCAACAGTTTTCTATTAGTTGAACTCTCATAAGGATTTTGTTTTGGCATTTTTCCAGTAAGATCTGTATCCCAAGACCCTGATGGACTGGAAATGCTGCCATTTGTTTCAAGGGAGCATGGTGCCAGGTCAGTTAACCGGAATGGGGATTCAAGCACCAGTCCATCTGTTTCGGGATCAATAGTTACCAGATACAATGCCCCAGTAGTCCATGGTGGTATTACCAGGAGTTCATCTGGTGCCTCCCCTCGAACTTCTAATGCACTTGTCCAATCTAATACCAATCAGAATGGTCTTTCCATCTTTCAAGGGTACTAGCTGCTGGAGCCTATCAATATTCTAGTCATTATGTATGGACGCAGCAATTTGACTTGTAAAAGTTGACAGATGACCATATTGTCCTAAAAACTCAATGCTAAAGTTCTGTTGAAACTCTATGTTAATAAGCAGCAACCGTCTTCTGTTTCGGAAAATCCTTTTTCTTTTATCCAGTTTTTATTTTACTGGCCATGTTCTATTTATTCATGCATGTTGTATTTCTGTTATAGCCTCATTGAGAGGGTGAGGAAGACAGTTCGGGGCTCTGCTGATGACATTGGATGGTTGCAACGAGATCCGAGCATGCCACCTGTCGAAGAGGGAACGGGAAGATTCACAGAAATACTCGACGATATACGGTACAAATTATACATTTCTGTTTGCTTTTTTTTTTTTT